CACCCATCGACTTTTGTCTGATAACCAAAATGCATTCATTCCGCATCTAGAGCTAGCAGCCAAGTACTGGCGATGTTTACGTGAGACTCCCATGTTACGGAGGATTGGGAGTTACAAACAATCCCATTGGTAGTGTAACCACATGTCCCATAGACCACCCTGTGAGGGGTCAACGACTGTACAAGAACAAGGTCAGGCCAGAAAAGGGCAAATAGGTTTGCTCTGCGCACTGGGGAGAGGTTCACAGTCCTAGCAAGGAGCCAGTGAAGTCGCACCTATCTGTGTTGAAGAGCAAGTTTTTAAACTGGTCAGAAGGGGAAAGGGAGGGGGCAGGAGCTGCAGCTGTCTTCTTCCGTGAAATTCTGAGACAGGGTGGTGTCTTGATCATTCCGCCTGATTCAGATTCCGAGAAAATGGCTCCTTATCCTGGAGCCCTTTGAGGCTGGTTGTCTAGGGTCTCCGTCCTCAGTCCAATAAAGGCAGGGCCAGCTATTCCTGATGTCCCCCACTTGTGCCTGACACAATATTCCGGCCTTTTTGGTGATAATGGGCCACTCTAGGCTATCTGGCTGGACGGGGTTGGCGAAGGGTTAAAGGCCAGAGTGTGTTGGGTCAGGTTTGGTGGGCAGGGGGCTGTAAGGGTGTAAAAGAAGCTGGTTGACAGTTAAGTGAGTCATGTCCTTTGTCCTGTGCTGAAGAAATTTGAAAAACAACAACAGGGGGGCTATTAGTAACAAGAAACATAAAGCAAGTGGCCCAATTAAAGGAAGGGTGCAGGCTCAAAGGGGGTTTGGGAATCGAGAGTGGTGAGGCATTGTTCCTCCGGCAGTTTTTAAGCTCTGCTGACATTTTAAAGCGTCTTCATGTTCTGTTCTACGATCCCTGGTTCATTAAGGTGATAGCAGCACTCTCTCCTTAGAGACAAGCAGGTGCCACCCTTTTCCACAGTTAGGAGCTCTAAGGCCCTTCAGCCCGGGGCTACCTGCGCTACGTAAAGTGAGGTCACTGCAAGGAGACTGGAGACTGAGGTGGGCCCCACAGCCAGCTGGAGCTCCTCCTCAGAGTGCTGTGCCTGGATCACACTGTGGCCTCCAGCCCCACCAGAGAAACCTGATGCCGTGACTGAAGAGGCTAAGACCTGCCATTGCGGGCAAGGCGGCAGCCCTTTTTTGCCGGGAGACTGTGGCTGGGCTCAGCAACCATGCAAGTTCATCCTCTCCAGAGTGAGCTGCAGAACCACAGTGGTAGGGAAGCACAGGCTGGGGTAAAAGGAATTGAGGTTATTTGGTGAGGGTACCATTACACCAAAAATAGGTGCCCATAGGGGCATAAACTGTGAATGACACAGTGGTGTTGGAAACACACCATGTAACCGGGACTACGGTGACAGGTCAGGTATGGTGGTCTGGAAGCAGGCACAAGGACAGATTGGTTAGCCTCCTCTGGTTCCCATAGAGGGATGTTAGGGAATGGATGCGCACAATCCATCTCTGGGCAAGAGTGGGGAGGCTGGCTCTGCAACATTTGTTCGGCCTCCAGGATATGTTGATACTTGAACATATCAGCTGACAGGACATATTCCTGGCTTATGCTAAAGGAACCCCTTGGGTAAGAGGAGTCCGTCGTGGTAGCATGGTAAAACTTCCCTTCAACCCTGACACCCATCTCTGATCCCACGGGTCTTTGATGGTAAGGGAGACATTGTAGTTGGGGCTGTGGCCAGAGGGGGAGAACTGAATGTGACTCCCCCTCCTCCCTATATTTGCATGTGATGCATAGAGCAGACTAGTAGAGGCGCCCGCCGTCTTCTGGTCAATCTGTACAGTTATCAGTTGGTCTGGTTGAAGAGGAAACACACCATGGTCCTCTACTGAATGTTGGCCAGAGGTATGGTTAAAGCTGCAGCTGGCACAGCCGGCTATAGGGCAGTCCTTGATTCTCGGTGATAAGGTGGTTGTGTCTAGGTAAGTTTCCCTTACATCAAATCTCCACACAAGCATTCGGTGGGAAGCCCAACTAGGAAACAGTAGGCAATTTAGTAAAACAAAGACGAGCGGGGCCATGACCTGGGTAGGGTACAAGGGGTCATGGCTGGGAGCTGCCTGCTTGACCCAGCTGAGATGGTGCCAGTTGGGGTCCCTGAGTACTTAACTGCCTGCTGCGGGGGTAGTAAGGATTACTGTATAAGGTCCCTTCCACCTCGGCTGAAAGGACCAAGACCCCGGCTCAGCGATTGAGGAGTCAGGTAGCTTAGGATCAGGGCTGGCAGGCACCGGTCAGCATGTTCCCCAAGAAGCTGCCTTAGAAGAGAAAGGTAAGGCAGGGAACTGGCTAAAGGAGAAGCCTGTGTTGGCAGGTTGTGGCTAAGGAGGAAAAGCCTGCCACACATTAACTCGAAAGGGCTTACAAAGGAGGGAGAGCAGGGAGCTGCAGGAGGCTAGGGGTAGCAGGTCCACCCAGGACTTGTGGAGTTCTGAGTTTCGATAGCTGGCTTTTTACATCATTCTTGCACGCCACTTTTCCAGAAGACTGCAGCCAATATGGGTGTATGAAGCTTCCATTTTATGTCCAGGGCAAATGAAACCTGCTGGGCGATTTTGGAAACAAAACCCGGCCTGTTGCCCGACTGAGTGGAGTTGGGGAGGCCAAACCTGGGAATATTGTTAATGGTGATGGCGTTAAATGTCAGCTGTTTCACTCCGAGCTGGGAAGGCTTCTACCCAGCCTGGAAAGGTATCAACTATGGCAAGGAGAAACAATGTCACGAAGGAGGGAGGAGCGGAAAGGAGGGGGGAAAAAAAGGCTGATACCAAGGGCTCACGTAAAAAGCAAATGTTTTGAGAATGAGAGCAACAAATGTACAAATGTGCTTGACACGTATGTATGGATTGTGATGAGTTGTACGAGCTCCCAATAAAATAATTAAAAACAAAAAACAATACCCTTATGCAGTGGCATATGGGTGAAGTCGATTTGTCAGTCCTGACCCCACAGGTGACCCCAAATTTGGTGAGTTTGAGACAGGGGCTTAAAACCTCCTTGAGCGTTTATGGCCTTACAGATTGGGCAGGAGGAGCTTACAGTTTGGACAGGTTGAACTAAGGAAGGGGAATAAGAAATTGGCTGCAAGAAATGAGTTAAGACTCAGGCCCCAATATGGAAGGTTTGATAGATTTGCTGGATGATATCCAAGCTCTCTAAGTAGGGCAGAGCTAGCTTGTTCTGAATTATGATCCACCCTTCTGGTGTGGCCTCATCTCCTTTGCTTATGAGGGAAGTTTGTTCCTGAGACGTGTATGAGGGCTGGATGGTAGGTAAAGTTAAAAACATCATGGGGGCAGGCTGCTTGGGGTTTGTAGAAAGGCTTCTAGCTACAGCATCGGCCTTGTTGTTGCCTTGTGTGGCTGTGGAGTTGTCAGTCTGATGACCTCTGCAGTGGATGATAGCCACTTGAGCCGGCAGTTGAAGGGCTTCTTTTTTTTCTAAGTAAAAGAACTTATTTAATATTAAAATCAAATTGCTTCCCTGCCCCCCGCCCTCTAAAGGGCTTCTAAAAGGCAGGAAATCAATGTACTATTGACAGTGGGGGACCCTCTAGTAGAAAGGAATCCCTTTCCAATTGCAGCACAGCAGTGGGCAATTAAAAGGGCATACTTGGAGTCAGTGTACATGTTGGCTGATTACCCTCTGGGTGAGTCCCCCCTTTTGAGAGGTGGTGCAGGTCAAGCGGTTCCTAATGTCCCTGGACCTGTGCCTAACCCAACACCCCCCCTCCCTTTAATGCTTGGAAATATTTTTGGAAATGCATCGTGTGTAGCCAACCTGACTTATATATTCAAGCTTATGCATCTCAACAACTATTTTTGATAAATCAACTTGGCTATTATGCCCCCAATTCCACTTGGCTAGATTACATCACCAGACTTGCCAAATCTGTTAGACCCTCTTTTCTCCAAAATAGACCCATTTTATGCTCATTAGTTCACATACTGCCCCAGTAGTATGCTTACAGTGGCCCTGAAGGGTTAAATTTAACACCCTTCCCCCAATATATAGGAGACATTAGCTTAGCCACATTCCAACAAGCTGATTTAAGAACTTGGTAGTTTGCAGTCTAAGTTGGTCACCACCTGAGAAGTTCTTGGAAGTCCTAGGGGCCTGGGCTTGGTGCTTCTCTCAGGGGGGGAGGGTCCTGTGCAGCCCTAGGAGAAGCTTGTTGCTTTTACGCATCTGGAGGATTCGATGACATGCTCCAAAAAAGGTTACGACAGGTGAAACCAGGGCCAAACAGGTTATCAGAGAAGGTTTTAATTGGAAGCCTCCTTAATTTTGATACTGTGAGCATGGTGTACAGGTCCCTGCCTTATAAGACGTCTTGTAAATTAGGCCCGAAATAGCATACACTTAGAGGTAAACTGAGGCACGAGATGAGCGTAAGATCGTGAAGTTAAGAAGGACTTTATTAGAGCAGAGAAAGCTCCCGGGCGGGTTCCGAGACCCGACGAGTTAGGCAGTGGGAGCTATATCCATATATCTATACAGATGTCTATATCTCGATATCTATACATATATATACATAGGGCCTGGGTGTTGGGGAGTCTGTGCAAGGAGGGACGGCAGCTCCCTGGCGCTGCAGCTGCAGGGTCTGAGTAGGACGCGCTCGGTGAGGAAATCACCTTGTTTTCCGCAGACCCGCTTCCTACAGTCCAGGCTCTTGGGTCCAGAGACAGGGGCAGCCCCCCTCTCTCAGGCCGGAGGGCGGGGAGCCCCCGGCGCGCGCCCTCTCCCCGCTTTCTGTTCTGCAGCCTGCTCTTCCCGGCCATCGTCCTCCGTGGGTGGCCCTTCTTCACCCTTGAACTCTCCCCGTGCCCCCCGGGGACGGCGAGTCCCAGCTGGGACACTACTCTCCGAGCGCGCCCACCGCTGCCCTCGCCCCTTCCCTCCAAAACTCAGGCTGTTATGGAGTCGCGACCAACAAAGACCACTGACCCACAGGCAGCTGCGGAGTAACAAAGCAAAACTTTATTACAAAAAGGCAAATCCGGATTTGGGCTACAGCATGGCCACGCAGGGTCCAAAACTGAAGCGTCCGGCAAAGATTTTTCTGTCCTTTTAAACACTTCAGACCAGCAAAGCGAGGGGGTAGAGCGCGGAGAGGGGAAGAATGTTTGCATGAGATAACAGGAAGGATGTGGGCAGTTCGGTATGTCCTGCCCAGTTTATCTCGGACCAGATGTTCTGGCAAAACTTCTGACATTTCCAAGCGGAACTTTGCAAGCTCACAGTGACTCGTTCTTAAAATAACATTCCTGTCTTAAAATGGAGGATGGCTTTTAACCTTTTCAAAATGGAGTAACTTAAGGCAAATTATTTTACTATGTTAGGCCTTAACATTCCCTCCTCTTTTAGTTAAGTAAATCAAATCGTTGATTCTTCAATTTCCGCGTCTGCTAGGGCTTGATAATTAGTTCTAAGGACCATTAGTGGCATTTGGGTTAGTATGATTTAAAAAGGAAAACATAATGTCAAGTGTTTTTAACACAGGTTTTTCTTCTATTTTTGGAACGTCTAGGTCACTAATTTTAGCGGTATTTGGAGGGGGAGTTGGCCCAGAGGTTGTTGGAGGTGGTCGAGTGAGGGTGGGACGTGCTCGAGGGGCTATTACAGGTACTTGGTTTAAAGGGCCCACAGAAATTTTGGGTCTCGGCATCTCTGTTTTTTGTATGGTAATTTCAGCTCCTGGATTATGCCCGTAAGTCCAAAGTCTTAGTCCCCAAGTCTTACCCCCTTGCCAAACAAAGCTGTTAGGTTGAAGCACCGCTATCTGAATAGTGGTAGTGGATGATATGCGGCTGACGGTAATGAGGCGGTCTTTTTGTGAAGCTGGCAACCACCCGGCTATAGTCTCACATCCCCACTTTGCACAATAATAATCTTCATAAGTTCCACAAGTTGGTAAGTAGGTGCTAGTCCCAAAAGTACGGGGGCATCCATATATGGGGGTATAGGCGAGAATTTCTTTTCCTTCGTGGGTTGTACAACCCCCCCTTGAGACAACTTTCCAGTCTTTGTTCATTAACTGGCAGAGATCAACCTTAAAAACAGGTGCCTCTTTAGATGTCTGGCTTACGATTTGTTGTAGGCTTGCTCCGCTTCGGGTGAGAGAAAGAGTCCACATATATTCTTTTGAATTATGGGGATTTGATGCCGCCTCTATGCTGCTGAGACCTGTAACGACCAGGCTTAGGAACAAACAAACTTTAGCTTGAGCGAGCCTTCTTTGGGCTGGGGACTCAGTTTCCATGTCTTGCTTTCGTTTTCGGCCGCCTTCTTTAGTCTGGTGTGGTGTATCCAATGTTGCTTTCCTGCAACTTTTACTGCAGTCGGGGTGCTCAGGACAACAGGGTATGGTCCCTCCCAGCGTGGTTCCAGTTGACCTGGGCTTAGTTTTTTCACCCATACTAGATTGCCGGGGCTGAAGAGAGGTTTTCGGCTCTCCTCGTTGCGGGCTGGAGCCTGGTTGGACGGCACGTGGCTTCTGATTCGCTGGTGCACTGCTTGTAAAGCCTGTAATGACTCAACCATGTTATGTAATTTAATTTCATTTAACATTTCACTTCCAATTTTGGGTAACAATGGGGGTGGGAACCCGTACATTATTTCAAATGGAGAATAACCATGTTTTTGAGGTGTACATCTTACTCGAAGCAAGGCAAAAGGTAGGAGGCTAACCCAATCTCCGCCAGTCTCTAATTTTAATTTGGTAAGAACTTCTTTAATTGTTCTATTCGATCTTTCTACCTGTCCGGAGCTTTGGGGTCTGTAACTACAATGCAGTTTCCAATTAATTTTAAGCACTCCAGTTAGTAATTTTGTTAACTGCGCAGTAAACGCCAGGCCACTGTCGGATCCTATGAACATAGGGAGTCCGAATCGAGGAATAATTTCAAAGACTAACTTTTTAACTACAATGAGGGCAGTCTCTCCCTTCGTTGGGTAGGCTTCTGGCCAGCCAGAAAAAGTGTCCACAAAAACAAGGAGGTACCTGGAGTTTCCTGGTGCCCGTGGAAGTTCGGTAAAATCAACTTCCCAGTGCTCTCCTGGTGCTTTTCCACGCTATCTTTGTCCTGGGTGAGGGATTGGGACAGGGTTAGCATTTACCTGAGCACATGCTGGACACCTTGCAGCTTCACTCCTGGTTAGCTGGTACAGTCCTTTAATTACATAAACTTTGTGTAGGAGCTCTGCCAATTTTGGCCCACTGAGGTGTAGCTTAGCATGCATTTGTTTAATTAATTTTATCCCCACGGCTTGGGGCAACAATTTTCTGCCATCTTCCAAGGTAATCCATCCAGATGCTGATGTCTTTCCACTATACTTTTGGGCCAACTCCTCTTCAGCTTGTGAGTAATCGGGAGGTCCGAGGCTGCTAGAGGGTTCCAGCAGGGGCAGGATGGTTTCAGAGCAGGCTACTTGGCGTGCGGCTTGGTCAGCTAGCCGGTTACCGTTAGATATGGGGGAGGAGTTTTTTTGGTGCCCTCTGCAATGCATGATAGCCACCCTTTGTGCGGCCCATATCGCGGTGAGGAGGTTTAGAATTTCTGTGGCATGCTTAATGTCCTTCCCTCCTGCGGTTAATAGTCCCCTTTCTTTGTAGATACTTGCATGAATGTGGACAGTGGCAAATGCGTACCGACTATCCGTGTAAATGTTCACCCTTTTTCCTTTGCTCCACTCTAGTGCTTTGGTTAAAGCGATTAGTTCAGCCTTTTGAGCAGAAGTTTGTGGACCCAGAGCCTGTGCCCAAAGTACTTGCTTTTCGGTGACCACTGCTGCTCCTGACTTTCGAGTTCCGTTTTCCATGAAGCAGCTGCCATCCGTGAACAAGGTTTCCTCTGCGTCTGACAGAGGGACATCTGATAGGTCTGGTCTTATGGAAGTCAGGGCGTCCAAGACTTCTTCACAGTCATGCAGCGGGGCAGCGACTGGGTCTGGTACAGGCAAAAGGGTAGCAGGGTTTAGAGCAGCCGTGCGGCTGAAGCTTACCCATGGTGGGTCCAGGAGCAGGACTTGGTACTGAGTGATTCTGGAATTTGAGAACCATCTGTCGGGAGGGGCTCGGAGGAGTTGTTCTACATTGTGAGGAGCAGTGATGACGAGGTTTTGATCAAAAGTAAGCTTTGAGGCTTCCTTTACCAGCAAGGCGGTGGCTGCAATAGCTCTCAGGCAATTTGGCCATCCAGCAGCTACTGGGTCGAGTCTCTTGGAGAGATATGCTACGGGCCGCTTCCAGGGCCCGAGAGCCTGCACCAGCACACCTTTTGCTACTCCATTTGCTTCTGCAACAAAAAGGTGAAAGGGCTTTTCGAGGTTAGGAAGGGCTAGGGCCGGAGCTCTTACCAGTGCAGTCTTCAGCTCCCGGAAAGCCTTTTCTTCTACATCCGTCCATACTAGTTCAGCCCTTTTTCCTCCAGCAGCGGCATAGAGTGGTTTGGCTATTTCTGCAAAGCCCAGGATCCACAAGCGGCAGTATCCTACTGCCCCAGGAACTCACGTACCTGCTTTTTGGTGGTGGGTTTGGGTATAGCTTGGATGGCCTGGATTCTGCTGTTTGACAAAGTTCGATTGCCATCCTTTAACTCATACCCCAGGTAGGTGACGATTTTTGTACACAGCTGGGCCTTTTTGGCAGAAACCTTATAGCCCAGTTGGCTTAAGGTTTTTAGCAAGTCTTCTGTAGCAGCTTTACAGTCTGTCTGGGTTGCGGCAGCCAGCAATACATCATCGACATATAGAAGTAGAGTTACCTAGTCATGGGTTTGGCGAAACTCTTGTAGATCTTGGCTTAGAGCCTCATCAAAGATGGTGGGCGAGTTTTTGAACCCCTGTGGGAGTCGTGTCCACGTGAGCTGGCCATTTCTCCCTTCTCGGGGTCAGTCCATTCAAAGGCAAACAATTTCTGGCTTTCTTTTGCCAGAGGTAGACAAAAGAAAGCATCCTTTAAATCTAACACAGTATACCAACAGTGCTCAGGCTTTAGTAAGCTGAGCAAGGTATATGGGTTAGGCACCGTCGGGTGGATGGTTTCTACTCGCTTATTGACCTCTCTTAAATCCTGCACTGGCCGGTTGTCACCAGTTTGGGCCTTTTTGACCAGAAGGAGTGGAGTATTCCAATTAGACTGGCAGGGTATTAGAATTCCAGCTGCCTTTAGTAGGGCAATATGTTTGCTGATTCCACTCCGGGCCTCTTGGCTGATTGGGTATTGTTTTATTCGAATTGGAGTGGCAGAACTTTGCAGTTGTACTACAATGGGTGCCCGATGTTTAGCCAGCCCTGGGGGGGTTTGTCTCTGCCCACACATCAGGGATTGTGGCTTTCCATTTTTTTAGGAGTTCCCCAGAGTCTTGGGGTTCCTTTTTGGCATCTGCTGCTGAGAAGAGGCGGTACTCTTCTACAATTGGAAATGAAACCAGCAGGGTCCCGGCCCCTGTTTGTACCTGCATGGAGTCTTCTTTGAAGGAGATGGTGGCCTTCAGTTTGCTGAGCAGGTCTCATCCCAGGAGGGGGGTAGGGCATTCTGGAATGACTAAGAAAGAGTGAGTCACAGTTCCTTTTCCTAAATTAGAAATTCTGGCTGATGACCATGGATATGCTTTTACCTTTCCTGTGGCTCCAACAATTTTTGCTGTGTTCTTTGAGAGGGGGCCAATGGGCGAGGTGAGCACTGAATGAGTTGCCCCAGTGTCCACTAGGAAATTAATTGGTTTTTTCCCCACCATGAGAGTTACCCTGGGTTCAGGGGGGAGTGCTGAACCCCGGCCCCGTCACTCTAGCTCTTCCACCAGAAAGGGGGTGGAGGGTTCTTTGGGTTTTCTCTGTCCTTGGTTGGGGCACTCGTTTTTCCAGTGCCCCTCTTCCTTGCACACAGCACACTGATTTTTCCCAAGGCATGGCTGGTTGGGCCATCGCTGCTTTTTGCTGAAATCTCCCCTTCTAGGAAGGCTTCGGGGCCGACGGCTCCCGGCTTCTGTGGCCAAAAGTACCTTTGCCATTTTCTGAGTAAGAGCTCGGGTTGCCTCAGCTGGGTCTTCTCTGTTATCGAAAACCTTTTGGGCCACTGCCAGGAGCTCAGAGAGAGACGTGCCCTCAAACCCTTCTAACTTTTGCAACTTCTTTCTAATATCAGTTGACTGAGCTACAAACTGCATAACTAGAGCTGCTTGATTAGCTGGGGCGCTAGGGTCTATAGGTGTGTATACTCGGTAAGCCTCTTGTAGCCTTTCAAGAAAGGCAGTAGGGCTTTCCTTTGGCTCCTGTTTAACCTCAGTGACTTTAGACAAGTTGGTAGGCTTTCTTCCCGCACCTTTTAGACCCTTTAATAGAGTTGAGCGGTATCGGGTGAGGCTCCTATCTCCTGCAGAGGTATTAGGGTCCCAATCTGGTCTTGTTCTGGGGAACACTTCCTCTATCTGGGCTAGGTCGGAGGTTGGTTCCCCGTCCCTGCCCAGAACAGCTTTCCTTGCCTCTGTTTTTATTCGTTCCCTTTCTTCAGTAGTAAACAAAACATTTAGCAACTGCTGACAACCATCCCACGTAGGCTGATGGGTATAAGAAACAGATTCTAAAAGAGTTATTAAACCTTGGGG